CATGCGGGAAAAGTGATGTTCAGAATCTTATAACAAAGACTGCTACCATATATGGAACGAGAAATGCCAGATGTTCAAGATGGATTCAGAAAAAGAAGAGGCACTAGAGATCATATTGCAAATTTACGTTGGTTACTGGAGCATGTGAGAGAATTTCAAAAGAAAATCAGCTTGTGTTCCGTAGATTACAGCAAAGTTTTTGACTGTGTGGATCATGAAAAGCTATGGTTGGTTTTAAAAGAAATGAGTGTGCCACAGCATCTGATTGTTTGATGTGCAGCCTGTAATCCAGACAAGAGGCTACTGTTCAGACAGAATATGGAGAAACAGAATGGTTTTCACTCGGCAAAGTTGTCAGACAAGGATGTATTTTATCTCTCCATCTTTTCAATCTCTGTGCAAAACATATCATAAGGAAAGCTGGATTAGGTTTAAGTGAAGGTGGAATGAAAATTGGTGGAAGGATTATTAACAATTTGAACCAGGTTTGAGTCCAGAGACACCTTTAAGACCAATGAAGTTTAATTCTGGGTATAAACTTTTGTGTGCATTTTTAAAGGTGCCACTGGACTCAAACTTTGTTCTCCCTCTGAGGTGGAGGACATCTTGTGGGTGATTCCCATCCATCACTTAGGGAGGCAGGACTAATTTCAATTACTTCCTGTTTCCTGTAGTGGGAGTCACCCTAGGCTCAGTTCTGGTGCTCCAAAAGCAATGCAGTAACTTAACCACTGTAAAAAAGAGAACTTGAACACCAACAAGAGTATAGCCAAATCACAGACATTGGAACAGGAAGAAAAAGGTGAGTCCTCTCTCGCATGTAATCTTATTATTATTTTTAAATAGAGTGTGAAAGAACAGCATAGTAGATAGAGGAAATGACGACCCGGGAGGGCCGAGATGTCCTCCAAGCCTCAGAGGAGAAGGACCCTTCACGGTGAGTAACCAATGGTCGTTCTCCCTCTGAGGTGGAGGACATCTTGTGGGACCTCCCAGAGCAGTGTCCCTAATTTCGGGAGGGAAGGTCATCATCGAGAGACAGGACAGATTGAAGAACCCATCTCCCAAAAGGCTGCAAGATGTCCTCCAAGCCTCAGAGGAGAAGGACCCTTCACGGTAAGTAACCAGTGGCTGTTCTGTTGCTTCAGACCAACATGGCTACCCACCCGACTCTTTTAACAATTTGAGTTAGGCAGATGACACCACATTACTAGCAGAAAATACTGAATACTTGAAACGACTACTGCTGAAGGTTAGAGCAGAGAGTGTCAAAGCAGGATTATAGCTGAACATCAAGAAGATAAAAGTAATGACTACTGGGAATTTGTACAGCCTTAAAGTTGATGAAGAAATTGAAATTGTTCAAGATTCCACCACGGCTCCATCATCAGTCAAAAGGAAGACTGTGACCAAGAATTCAGGAGATTGAGACTGGGAAGGACAGCCATGAAGGAGCTCGAAAAGATTCTTAAGTGTGAGAACATGCTGGAGGCAGCCAAGATCAAGTTAATTCATGCCGTAGTATTCTCCATTACTATGTATGGGTGCGGACGTTGGACAGTGAAGAAAGCTGATGGGAAGAAAAGTGATTCCTTTGAAATGTGATGTTAGAGAGACAGATACCGCAGTGGGGTTCTAGATCAAATCAAGCCTGAACTCTCCCTATAAGCTCAAATGACTAAACTGAGGCTATAGTACTTTATTCACATTATGAGAAGACAAGAGTCACTGAAAAAGACCATAATGCTTGGAAAAGCTGAAGGAAGCAGGTAAAGAGGAAGACCCAACATGAGATGGGTGGACTCAATAAAGGAAGCCACAGCCCCCAATTTCCAAGACTTGAATAAGGCTGTTAACGATAGAACATTTTGGAGGACATTAATTCATAGGGTTGGCATAAGTCGGGAGTGACTTGATGGCACTGAACACACAACACACGGTAACTGTTCAAAGCTCTTTACATAAAAGTATAATTATTGCTATCCTGTAAAATAATTCAGTGGGAATTGAGGCGAGGCAGAGCTGAGAGAGTAGTTTGTTTGAGGACCCCAAGTGAGTTTATGACAGAGACAAAACCTGAACCCAGGACTTTCTGGTTTGTTGCTTACTGTAGTAGCCAATGCCATACTAGCAGTGCTGTGGGTTTCCCAGAAAACGTTTGAATTGGAATATTTTCCAATTCAAATTTAAATAAGTAATTTACTTATTGTCACTTGGACCCCAAGTGAGTTTATGACAGAGACAAAACCTGAACCCAGGACTTTCTGGTTTGTTGCTTACTGTAGTAGCCAATGCCATACTAGCAGTGCTGTGGGTTTCCCAGAAAACGTTTGAATTGGAATATTTTCCAATTCAAATTTAAATAAGTAATTTACTTATTGTTAGCAAAGGTTAAATACTGTTAGCAAAAGAAGGCAAATATGCCATGTATAAGCACTGGGGTTTGTACATGCTTCATATCCTACATTTAGCTTATCCAGCATGGTTGTTTTGCAGTATAAGAGCTCCATCAACTATAGATAAACTATTGAATATATGGGGTGGAAAGTTTTCTGCATGAAAATATATTTTCCACCCCACATCACAGCACACTCTCTTAGTCCCTGTCTACTTACACTTGGTGACTAAAAAACCCCCTTGTTTGTTATACTGTGATAATTTAACTGTGGATTATTTTTGTGGATTTTGCTGGTGGATTATTTGTTTACCAAATTATGCAGCACATCAGCATGTACAGTACTAGAATTTGTGGAAGTTTCACTGTTCATTTTTACAGAATTGCGAAGCTGTCAGTCATTTTTGGGACTTTACAGTTTACGCATTGTCACGGGTCCCCCCATCCCACTCAGCAAACCGCATTCCCAAATCTGCTCAGGTTCCACATTTGCTGTTTGCCTGAATGTGTATATAGTCCCCCAATGATAACAGCAGAGAACAAAAACAAACAAAAATAATGGCATGGGAGTTTTCAAACAGCGGTGGTTAATGTTTAAACAGGAATGGCATCCAAATGAAATGGGATCTTTGTTCAAAAAGACAGCCACTCGGTGTGGGCTGAATGCAGAGCAGAGTGCCACTCTAAGAGGCAAACTGGTCTAAAATGGGACATTTACATTTGAAGGAAAGGGATTGTGTTTTCAAATGGAAATATGCAACAAAGCATGTCTTTAAAAAAATGTGCATCCCCTGTAAGCAAGTGGAGAATTTTTATCACTGTGGGTAGGACTGGGATTGGCTATCTGGCATTTGTACAGTGTTGTTAATGCAGGCCTGGTTTCAGTCCAGATGTTGATTTTGGTTCCCCCCATAATTAAACCATGTTGACATTTTGATTGAAGTCTGTCCAGGAATTGGCTGGCAGACCGAGGCAGTGATCTGGCTCTGAAATATGACCTCGTTTCCTTACCTCATCTCCCTCACCCTCCACCATGGAATAACTAAAGCAGGACTATGGTATAGGAAACTTGCATAACTGAATTCATTTGTCACTTCCTCTCAGCTTTAATATGAAGTATGGCACTTCTCTATTAATTAATGTTTGGCATGGGAAAGAACTCCATGTGCTGTTTTAGTGCATTGTTTTTCCAACTTTGAACCACTTGCCCCCTCCCCCAGTTCTGAATTTACTCAGCCTTGTGACACTCATTCTCCTACCAGTTATCCACTCCATTGGCCAGTATGTGGAAATTCTTAGGCACAGTTGTGTGTTGTCCATAGACTGCAGTACCTGTTCAATGCTGGAACTGGAAGAGGAGTGAAAAAGAGAGCTCCCTTTGTTTCACATCAGGCTGGGGTGATGGGGCAGTAAAGATGCAGTCATCTGCACATGACCAATATGGATCAGTGAAAGTCTCCTGCCAGGAAACATTCAACCCACCCAACTCTTGGCTGATGGGCAGAGGGAGGTTCCAGCTTCCTCAGGATATTATCTTTCCCTGGAACTTTGTGCTTGCACATCCTGTGTCATGGACCCCCAAAGGGGGGCCTACCCCACAGCTTTGAGAACCACTGTTTTTTGCGTCAAAACCTTGTTTACATAAAACATACTTGTAGATACTTTTTAAAAATGACAATAGCATGTATTCTTCACTTTAGAGAGTCATGTGGTAAAGTGCTCAAAATGTTGGACTAGAACTAGGAAGGTTCGAGTTCAAATTCCCACTCTGCCATGGTGCTCCTTGCTTCATCCAGGGACAGACTCTAACTTATCTCGTAGAGTGGTTGCAAGGATAAAAAGGGCTAGGGGAGACAACTTAGGCTTTCCTGAGCTCCTTGGCGAAATGCAAGATACAATTGAGTCCTGTTTGGGGGGATAGCCAGTTGGGATGATTTGATTTCAGGTGCATACCTGTTATGTCTGTTAATGCTCCTCTGTCTCTATTATCAATAGCCTTCTCAGACTGGAATAAAAAATTACCTCTATTGACCATGCAGAGTTAACATTTCTCTATTATCAATAGCCTTCTCAGACTTACCTCTATTGACCATGCAGAGTTAACATGGCAGCAACAAAGCGTTCTCCAGTGTCAATGAGGTGGAGCAGTCATTGGTGGTGGAAAGTGCCATTAAGTTGCAGCTGAGTGATAGTGACCTTGTAGGGTTTTCAAGGCAAGAGACATTCAGAGGTGGTTTGCCATTGCCTGCCTCTGCATAGCATCCCTAGACTTTCTTGGTGATCTCCCACCCAAGTACTAACCAGGGGCGACCCTGCTTAGCCTTCACGATCTGGGCCATTCAGGTCGGGGTAGGACAGTCCTTTCTCATGAGAAATGGGAGAAAAGCAAGATATGATATTTTAAATAAATTAAATAAGGCGTGCATCAGAGTAGGATATATTTGTAAGACACTTGGAAAATGGATTCATGAGCTGGTCTTTTATGTGCTGTGGAATGATGGCTGCCAGCATACTGCTGCATTGTCAGCATGCATATGGCCTTGAGGAAGATGAAAAAAAAAGGAGGTGCACAAACTACTGTTTATTCTTTTTTGGTTCTGTTCAGGTCTTCCAAGATTCACCAGTCAGCCAGAGTCAGCCTCCGTCTCCAGAAGAAATAGTGTGGTGCTTAACTGCGAAGTCAATGCTGATCTCTCACCCTTTGTGCGGTGGGAGCTAGATCACCAGCCGCTCTTTCCAGATGACCGAGTATTCCAGTTGTCGAGTGGAGCTCTGATAATTAGCAATGCTACAGATGAGGATGGCGGCACGTATAGCTGTGTCATTGAAATCGGTGGCTCTCCCAAATACAGCGACGAAGCAGAGGTTAAAGTTCTTCCAGGTACAAAAATCTGTCAAGTTTTTTTCTTCTTCTCCTTTCACTCTTGAGATACTAGTGAGATACTTAACTCTTCCAGCTTACAGTTTAAAAATTGCTGAATTAAAAATGGAATGCCACCCTATAGTCTTTTGTGAGTAGACCCAATAAAAGCTAGCTTTTAAGCGCTGGATTTCCTCGTATCCCAGGCCACAAACAAAGGAACAAAAATCCTGGAGTGGTGACAGAATTTTCTCATAGTCTGTGTTTTCACAATAGATCTGTGCTCCTAGAATTAGCCCTGAGGCCAGTCCTTGTGCCCATTCCAAATGCTATTGTCCCCTGTAGTTACTAATTGGTGGTGGCCATGTTTCCCCCCCTTTTTCACCCAGGCAGCACTTTCTCATGCAAGCTACCTTGGTTATTTCTTGGCAAGGTCTTAGCTGTAAAGCATTCCACTTGTACATGTAGAAGGGAGTGGGGAACAGTCTGTTATCAGCTAAGGCATCCTCTGGGAGAAATGGAGTTGGGCAAATGAGACAAATTGTAAATGGGAAGCCATTTGGGCTCTGTCTTTTGTATATTGTATTGAGAGTTGGAGTTTCAGTGATGCTTTTGTTATAGTAACCGGTGTTTATTTTCTGATTGCGCTATCTGCAGAATCAGAAGCTCCCTCCAGTCTGGTCTTCCTGAGACAGCCTTCCTCACTGACCAAAGTTGTTGGACAGAGCGCAGTTCTGCCATGTGTTGCTGCTGGCGTTCCCATTCCCATGATCAGATGGACAAGAAACGAAGAAGAGCTCATTACCGAAGGGTATGTAACAGCTCTGCCCTTACCACCGTGACACCTTTTCCCACCCTGACCTACCCACTTTGGTCTCTGTGCCCACTTTCTCATGAGGTCACAGGAAACTGCTGCAGATATTCCAGGGTGGCTTTGTGGGCAGCCAGAGAGGGGGATGCTGTGGCCCTCCCTGTCTTTTCATTAACTGGCTGGGAGGGGGACCTGCCAGCAAAGGAAGGAAGGAAGGAGGCTGGAAATGGAAGGAAGGGGGTGGCCAGTCTCCTGGCTTCTGGTGTCCTACCTTGCCTACCATGTTATTGCATTCTGCATTGTAAAACATGTAAAGGGTATCATGCTTTTATAGTTAGATTTTCCCCCTGCTCTGTATTGCTTTGCCTATTTCCATCCCACTTAGAGAGCATTCCCTAAGATCACAAAGGATGTGTGGGTGGGAGGAGAAATTCAACAACTAGACCAGCCTCTTCCCCTTCCTGTAGTGGTGATACTGTATTACGTGGCAATGGCACGATTTATTTATTGATTGATAATTTAAAAATTATTAGCTGCCTTTCTTCCTGTGGAGCTTGAGGTGGTTCACGAGAATAAACTACATAACAAACATAAAACTAAAATTTAAAATCGCAGTTTAGGAGTGCTTTAATTAAATGCAGTCCCAATAAAGCCATCTTCAGCTGCCTCCGAAAGATCAAAAGAGGGGGCCAGGGGCATCTCATTGGGGAGGTTCTTCCATAATCGTGGGGCTGCCACTGAAAAGGCCCTCTCTTGTGTACCCATCAAATGAGCATCTTTAATAGATGCAGTCCCAATAAAGCCATCTTCAGCTGCCTCCAAAAGATCAAAAGTGAGGGGGCCAGGGGCATCTCATTGGGGAGGTTCTTCCATAATCGTGGGGCTGCCACTGAAAAGGCCCTCTCTTGTGTACCCACAAAATGAGCTTCTTTGGTTGGTGGGACAGTCAGGGGGTCCTCTCCTTGTGATGTTACTTCCTTGGCAGGAACATATGGGAAAAGACCATCCTTCAGATTCCCTAGTCCCAAGACACTTAGTGCTTTAAAGTTCAAAAACAACACCTTAAATTGGGCTCAGGACAGGAGCCAGTGTAACTGCTGTAGTATCCAAGGTGTATCCAAGGTCACATGCTCAGACATTACAGCAGTTACACCGGCTTGCCTGTGTTGTTATTATATCCTTAATGTTTAAATAAGGGCTGGAAAAAATGGTTTAAAAACATCAGGGTTGTTTTAAGAAATGGCTTCTTTTCCATTCCTGCCTGGTCACTGGCCAAGGTGACTCCTTAGGCCTTTTCTCTTCATGCACTCTTAAGCAGAAGCAGAACATTTCAGCAGTGCGCTGATTCGGGAGCCTGCCCTCTTTTGGGTGTCACCCCCCCCCCCCAAGCTCAGCCTTTCATTTAGTAGGGTTCAAGTGATGGCAGTAGTATTGGGATCTGAGTTTAGTCCAACGAGGCAGTGCTTGAAAGGCTGTTCTATCATCTGCCGCCAATACTGAGTGAGAGAGACTGGAGGCAACGGTGGCAGGCTACATTCAGATGTCACAACAAACCTCAGTTTGCGATGGGCATTGTCACAGCTTGTTGTGCTGGATCTCCCTTCACTAACATGCTGTTTCATGGTGTGGGAAGCCTTGAGTAACGCTCCCATTTCCCATGCCATGTGAATGCCTGGGGAACTTGGTAGTTTGTTTCCTTCCCTCCAAACTAAATCGCAGCGTAATCCAAGTTCAGAATCCAGATTCGTGGGGAGGAAGATTGGAACTTGATTCAAGGCTTCCCAAACCAGGCAGTGCTATGGGAAGAAGGACAGGGGAGTGAAAGAATGTGACAATTAGCTTCATTCATGCCCATCAGGAGTGCTCAGCAGACTGTTCTGTGACCTCAAGAAGCTAGATCCATATAGTGCAGTATGATGTTAAGACTCAGTTTGATCCTCTTAGAAAGCACTTTGCCCCTCTAGCACCTTGTGCAGGGGACCTAGAGGCATTTAACATTTAAAGCAGCTGATTTCTTTAAATGTTTTAAATGATTGCTTTAAATGATTGCTGCTTTAACATTGAAAAAGGAGATTAAAACCCCAGAGTGGGAGAGGGCTGTAGAAGAGCTACATCCTAAAATGTTGCCTCCCTATTTTATGGAACAAGATCACCCTGCACAACCACACAGGGAGTTGCTTTAAACTCTGTTTATAGTGAGAAAATGTGGAATGCTGGGGTTTGGAAGGCTCCCAGGCTGCCTTTAAATAAGCAGTTTTTAAAGAAAACGCTGGGAGTTCTTTATTATGTAAAAGTTAACAACAAATGCAAGGCAGCACATGACTAGCAGGGTAAACAGTCTTTGTCTATTACTGAGTTGCTTTTTGTAATTTTTGGGGAGATGTTCTTACATATAAACAAATGATCGCCTGAGCGCCTGAGGTTTTTTTTAATGCATTGGTGGATCTTTGTGTTTAATTCCCAGTTGTATTTGCTTGGCTGATTGCACTGGTGGATGTTACATGTTCGACCTTGCTTGTTCTGTTTTGTAGTTGTTGAGGTTATTTCTTTCAATGTCTGTTTATTTATTTGGATTTATATCCCGTTCTCCCTGCAAGCAGGCTCAGGGTGGGTTCCAACAATATAAATATATAATACAATTAAGACCACTTAAAACAACAGTATAAAATAGCACAAAAACTTATACCACGTATATTCTGATTGTCTTAGCAATTAAGATGGAATTAAGATTCCAGGCCACTGAGAGGGGGTCAGCCAGAGGGAGGGGATGTTCACCGCCTCAACCAAAAGCCCAGTGGAAGAGCTCAGTCTTACAGGCCCTGCGGAATTGTGATAAATCCCTCAGGCCCTGATCTTATACAGGAGCTCATTCCACCAGGTGGGGGCCAGGGCTGAAAAGGCCCTGGCCCTGGTCGAGGCAAGTCGGACGTCCCTGGGTCTGGGGACTACCAAAAGATGTTGATTAGTAGACCTCAGTGCTCTATGGGGCTTATAAGGGGAGAGGTGGTCCCGAAGGTGTGCTGGCCCCTGGCTGTATAGGGCTTTAAAGGTAAGTACCAGCACCTTGAAACGGATCTGGTATTCAATAGGCAGCTAGTACAGTTCGTGCAGCACTGGGTAGATGTGAGCCCGCTGATTATCCTGGTTTTCTTTTGTTTATATATCTGTATAAATTAGAAATAAGCTTGAAAAAATAGACTCTGACATCTAAGTGTTCAAAATATTTCTCTAGTTTTGATTTTGGTGCATATGAACAACAACAGAAAAGAAATGCTTGCTTTCTGGCAGTGGTTGATGATGACTGATTGGCTTCTAATGGTATTGAAAGTCTTCTGTTCAGGATATGTTTGGCTGCACAAGCTCTCTAAATTTTTTTAAAGGAAGGCGGGGCTAAGGTTGCCAGGAGAGCATGTATGTGTTCATTGGTCACATCCTAGCTCCACCCAACTGCAAATATTCAGCTCAAGGAGCTATCTTGCACCAGTTATCTGTGAGTCTTCGGACTTCCATCCAGTGGACCAGTAATCTGACAAGTTTCCAGCTAAGCAGACTTCCACAGAACCATCTCCTTCTTGACAGTAATATCCTTTCCTTCCCCATTTGCTTTCAGTGGTCCATACAATGAAGAGCAGTTAATTTCCAAGTTGGTTCCCCCATTGTTTGGACTAATATCTGCCAATGTTGTTAATCCCTGGATTTCAGGCATTATTGGCCAAAGGATTCTGAACTACAACTCCTTCCTCAGTGGTATTCCCCCCCCCCCATAAGGCTTTAAAGGAGGGCTTTTTCATACAGAGGGTATGCACATGCATGTGTATGAGAATGAGGGAAATTATCCACTGGAGATAGATTTTGTCCAAGGTTAATGATGCCTTGATCTACATGGGAAACCTTATGGATTTGTGATGTTGGAGCAAGTTTATTGTTAAGTTTTAAAGCTGGTTTCAATAAACTTCAGTCCATTCAAAGCCAGAGTAGGGAAGTTAGAAATACTTACCTGGTTTTTTTCATCATCATCTTGCTTTTCCATTTTTAAACAATAATTCTTCTGATTACATGATTTAATCTGAAGAAATTATGCATGTTCAGTATCATCCCCAAGACTTGGCATGAAGATCATTTGCTATACTGAAGTACGTAATTGGGGGGGTTAGGAAGACCCTACTCTAGGGTGCTTTAGCTAGACTGTTTTAACCTGAGCTTGTTAAAAACAGAAATTGGTTTTGGGGATGGTGGTGGTCAGTGACTTTAAAGATGAACTGTGTTTCCAGAATCTTCAGAGATGTCATAAACTTCTTTTTTTAAAAAAGGATTTTCTTTTTTCTTTTAATTATTATTCTATTATTATTATTATTATTCTATTATTATTATTCTATTATTATTATTATTATATTATACTTCTTTATACTCTTTTATTAGAATATTATACTCTTTAAACACCAATCTGTCCTATTTTTCCACAGCTCTCAAAAGTTTTTATTGCTGGCGGGGGGGACTCTGAAGATCAATGAAGTCACAGAAGATGATGCTGGAGTATATACCTGCATTGCAGATAATGGGAATGAAACAACAGAAGCTCAAGCAGATCTTTCAGTACAGGGTACGTAAAGAAATCTTAAGAGATTAAGGAACAGGAAGGCCTATTAAATAGTCAAGGCCACAAAATTCCAGAGGCTAGAATTCTTGAAACTGGGAAGAGGAGGAGCTATTTTTTTGTGATCCTGTCACTTGGAATTTACATGAGTAGGTTCCCAAAGTCACCCAATCATTTGCAACCCTCGACTGGGGCTAGTAGTCCACCGGGACTGTTGCCTGGAGCTCAGCTCTGGAAATATTTATTTATTTATAAATTTATATACTGCCCTTTCCTGAGTTCACAGGGCTCCGGGTGGTTACCAACAACAACAACAAAACCAATATAAAACCAAAATTAAAACAATCAAATTAAAATGCTTCCTCCTTGCAAATAGGATATTCCTGCTGTGAAACAACCACAACTATTTGTTTGCCATTCCTTCTTCTCTTCCCAGCTGGGCCACTAGCAAAATGGCAGCATTGGCCATGTGAGGAAGAGTATATATGAAATAGAGGCAGGTAGATGCCGACCATGCCACATGCCACTGTGCATGCGCTTGTGGGACGAAGTCAATATATCTGGCCTTGGCCCTTTGTCGCGTACAGGGATCATGTATATGAAGTCCCTTGCCCCGCTTGGCAGAGTTATAGGTTTTATAACTCGTATGATGCTTTCAGAGTAGCATGTAATACACTTCATGAAAAGCTTTGTAAGGAATGCTTAATGTTGTATTTACTAGGAAAATACTCCTAATGATGATAGGGTATGTATAGTGGGAAGGCCCACGTATTCCTGGTTATGCACGTCACACACCTCTTTGTTGGTGGCCAGACCACCAAATGTAAGGGTGTTAAGCAGGCTATGTCTAATATACAGAACTTTTGGGTGGGGGGAGATTTCTGTCGGAAATTATGTTGTGGCCGCATAACTTGTCTCCATAAATGGTAGTCCAGATCTCCCTCTCCCTCCTGCAGTATTACAACATGAATCTCCCAAGTAACAAGTAGTTTGGTGCTCAGATACTGGGGTTCTCCCTCCTTAGAAGGATAATAATCTATTAATGAAATGTAGAGGTTTTTAGAAAAAGATTTGTAAGTAGAAAGGTATTTGCTCACTAAATGAAGAATGTTTGTGCTTATTTTTAAGGGCAGAATTATGTTCAGTTCCATGATAATTTTTAGAGCCCCCCCCCCCCCCCCCCCCCCCCCCTTTCCCAGGGGGGGGGGGGATTTGTTTATCAATCAATCTGCTCAGACAGAACTCACGTTCATTGTCGGTCTTCAATCAGACCTTTCTCCCAATCATCGTTATTACGCTCGATCTCTCGCGCTTGCCCCAGTCGAACTAGCTAGTGCCCGAAGGCCACTCAGCGACTGGACCATCGATCTGTGAGCTGGAGGCTAAAGAACTGTGAGCTCACACTAACTCACCTTAGAGGGAACACTGGTTGGGTCTGCCTTTTGGAAGAAGATGGCAAGATCGGGGGAGAGGGGCTTATTTTCTCCCATATCATTATCCCACAGGGGACAAAAATATTTTGAGTCCCAGTGGGGAAAATGTATGTCTACCTATATTTGTTCCCCAAAGTGGAAGAAGAGGCTTGGGGCCATGTTTTTCGGGGTGGGGGGAGAACAAGCCGTAAAGAGTTAAGTGACTTCTTCCTTCTGCATGATTCTCCCTCTTCAAAAAGCAGCCGCAGTAGCTGCACTTGGAAAAGAAGAAAAATCTTAGACAAGTATGGTGGAACTAAATGCAGTATCCTGAACCAGGCAATCTGAATCTATTCATACACTTAAATATGCTGGAATGTAGGGATTATGAACAAAACTGGGAGACCTTCTTCCCAAATAAACCACGGGCTTGAAGTCTGCCTTTATATGTACCTTGTAATGTCCCAAGTTATATACAAATGGCATTTCACATAACCATGAGTGAATAACAAAAATGTGTAACAAAAATGAGTAACAGAAATGTGAGGACTCGATAACCTGTAGGTGAACTGAAATACAAGACTGTTGTGCATTGTGTTTACGGATGCTTGCAACCTGTGTGTATTACCTTTCTCTTCCATGTTTGATAGTCATATGACAGGGAAATGGGGGGCAGTAAAGTTATTTTACTATTCTGTGAAAGAAATGATCAGATTTCCCTTGCGTAAATGATGAAAAGGTAGTATTGAAAGACGCGATTGAGGGAAACGGCAACAATGCCTGTCTAGTTCATTTTATCAGCTTAATTCAGGAAGTAACAGAGAGGCAGACAGATGCTGACAAGGTTATAAGATCACATTTCATCTGGGTTGGGTTTTTTTCATTTGTCACTGAATTTGGCTCCCCGGAGATCCATGCAAACACTGTGACGTCAACTACATTGCTTTTATTTTTCCTGGACTATCAGTTTCACATTGAGCTGAATGTTGCTGCTTGATATAACACTGGTGCCTATTTTTTTTTAAAAAAGAAAAGCATAGCATCAGGTATGCAATGTCAGTTATCTCAGAAATTGAATGGAAGGGTTACTTTCTGAATGTCAGTTGCACAGATTTGTGGGAGAAAGTAGAAACTTAAGAGCAGAGAGATAAAATTTCACTACATTTTAAAGCCGTGAAAAGAGACAATCTGATTACATGAGGAGTTCAGACTTGTCTAGCATTTGTTTCAGTGAGCTCAGCTTCACTGCTCCTCAACCATGACCAGTTACTATGGGAGTACTAAGGCAGTTGAACTTTGGTTGCAACAAAGTGAGGGGACAGCTGGGCACTACCAGTGCATGAATTGCTTTAAATCTGCACCTATAACTGAGCTCTTGGTCTGAAGCAACAGAACAAAGTTAAGAGTCCAGCGGCACCTTTAAGACCAGCAAAGTTTTATTCAGGGTGCGAGCTTTGGTGTGCACGCACACTTCGTCAGATGCTGAAATGGAATTACAGATCGTACTTGCATATATACAAGGTGGTTTGTTAAATTAGCATGCAAAGTAATGAAGTGTTTTTTAACAGATAAAAAGAATGACAAGCTTGGTTTCTGGTTATCATCTGTTTCAGTTCAACTGGGGGGGAGCAACATAGGTAATAAATAAGACGGGGACCCGCGATACTCGCGGGGAGGGGAGAAGAGCTCCGTCTCCTCCATCCCCCCCCGCTCGATCTCCCCGAGGAGGCGGCGGCGAGGCCGGTCCTCCCCCCCCGCCCGGCTCCAAGGCGGAGGCGGCGAGTCCGGTTCCCCGGCCGGGCTCCGTGGTGGCGGCGGCGGCGAGGCCGGTCCTCCCCCCGCCTGGCTTCGAGGCAGCGGCGAGTCCGGTGCCCCCCTGCCCGGCTCCGACCCGGCTGGGCTCCGCGGCGGCGAGGCCGGTCCTCCCCCCCCGCCCAGCTCCGAGGCGGAGGCGGCAGCGGAGAGGCCAGTCCTTTCCCCCCCCTTTGCTGGGCTCGGCGGCGGCGAGGCCGGTCCTCCCCGCCTGCCCGGCTCCGAGGAGGAGGCGGCAGTGGCAGCAAGGCCAGCTACAGAGCGTTCCCTGCGCATGCGACGCTCTGTCACTTTCGGGGGGGTTTAAACATCCCCCCGAAATTTTTTCAACTTTTTGGATTTTTGTGCACCCGTGGGGACCGCCCCACGTGTGCACAAACCTCCCCCTCCCCCCCAAGTGCCCCCGGAGCGCTGATTTAGCGATCCGCACTCCGGGGGCAACTTGGCTATTAGATATATAGATATGTCAGAACTGGAGATTGATGTATGCTAAATTGTGAGAATTCAGTCATTTGATCCTATCCATCTTTCTAGTGTGGAGGCAAACTTTAAAGCATCTTGGCTGTGTAGAATATTTTTTTTGTCCCCAGAATAGGGAAAACATAGAAGTCCCTGCCCTGCCTGAAGACTTAAATTCTGGGAGACTTGACACATGAACAAAAAAGGGAAATTGAAGGGGACTGTGACATTTAGGGTTGCCGGGGTCCCCCTGGCCATCAGCAGGGGATGGGGGGGGTATGTTTGCCAGATCCAGGTTGGAAACTCCTGGATATTTGGAAGTGGAGCCTGGGGAGGACAGGAACCTCACTGGGGTACAATGCCACAGAGTCCACCCTCTAAAGCATCAATTTCTCTAGGGGAACTGATGTCTTTAGTCTGGAGAGGAGTTGTAATTCTGTGAGATCCCCAGGTCCCACCTGGAGGCTGGCATGCATACTAGAGACTGGCCTGAAATTTGGCAGGATTTGAGATCTGGCTAGGGTTGCCATCGAGTTGCCATGAATCATTTGTAAAAAACATTTTTTATTTTACTGATTTTTAAAAAATGAATGTATGCTAGGAGGTAGTTGTTAATTTCCTGCATCATGCAGGGGGTTGGACTAGATGGCCCTGGACATCCCTTCCAACTCTATGATTCTATGTTCCCCCTCGCCACCTGCAAGGGATGGGAGAGAAGTGTTGCCAGATCCAGGCTGGGAAACTCCTGGAGATTTGGGAGGGGAGCCTCAGGAGGACACATACTTCAGTGGGGTACAGTGCCACAGATAGGGTTGCCAAGTCAATTTATCTTACCGGCGGGGGAGCCTCGCCGGGCTCCGAGAGCCGTCCGTCGATGTGCGCGCGCGCCGCCAGCACGTCACCAGAAGTGACGCACGACATCGATCACATTGAGGGCGTGGCCCCGATCATTGGAGGGAAAACCATAGAGTTTTCCCTCCGACGATCGGGGCCACGCGGGGGGCAGAGTTCCCCCCGGGGCCCGATTCCGTGGCGGCAGGAATCGGGCCTCCAAAGTGGGGGTTTACCCGCCACCCGCCCCCACTTGGCAGCCCTAGCCACAGAGTCCACCCTCCCAAGCATCCATTTTCTCCAGGGGAACTGATTGCTGTACTGTGGAGATGAACTGTAATTCTGGGGGATCCCCGGGTCCCTCCAGGCGGTTGGCAACCCTAGCAACTTTGAGAATGATTTCTTACATATTTATTTATAAAATTATCCTGGCTTTCCATGTCAGCTCAGTTTTCAGTGAATAGCCCAAGAATCACAAAGCTGTGCTTCAAT